CAAGGCTGGTGTAATAGTGGTTAGGTCGGCATGCTTCAGCAGTTCTTGTGTAATGAGAAACATATTGTAAATGAAAATCCCTGGGTTCAGACACAGAGGAAATGTAAAACCATTGCGCGTGCCCCCCCCTCTTCTTCTCTGTCCTGGAGGAGAACAGGTCTGACTCCCTCCGCAATCAGCGTAACAGTTCAGAAGACATTATAAAACCCGCAATATTCTCATTGAGTCAGAGTGGAAGCAGCAGACTTGAGGTGTCCTTGTATCAGTCCGAACTCTGTACATATCCTGCAACACTGCCCTCCGCGCTTATTCCACGCGTCCCCCTCGGATGCCCCAGTCTGTGGAGGATGCAGAGGAGTTGCCATGTCAATTCAAAAAGCAGAAAGCACCGGGGCAAGTGAGGCCTTCCCAAATGCCATGACGTTTTCAGTTTTCACAGACATAACAAAAAAGAAACCATCCCACAGCTCTGTCAGATCGGTGCAGGTCGACATTGCTCAAGTATTGCAGGCGGGCATGCCAGAAAATGCCCCGTTTGATATCCAGGAAGCTTGGCTGGGCGGTCAGTAGTCGGCGGTATATTCTGTCCCATGTAACCCGCGGGAAAGCAGCGTGAATTCCTTCACCATGTCTCTTATCCTCCTCTTGTTCACTCGCTCCCTGTACAGAGGGGGGGGGAAGAAAAAAAGGTTACGGATTAGGGAAGAGCACCAGTTCCAAGCATCGTACCCTACCCTGCAGGGTGGCACCCTACTGACACTGCGGCAGCTAAACGTTAGGAAAGTTTTGCTGGACTGATTTGGTGCAGCGTAGAGACAAGGATCACCGGCACTCAGCAATATCTTTCAATATGTCCATTTAATTGGACAAAGCGTCACAATAACAAATGCCGACGTTTCGGGGGGGCCACACAGGGTCCCCCTTCCTCAGGGCGAAAAAGATGTGACAACCTAGTTGTCACATCTTTTTGTTATTGTGACGCTTTGTCCCATAAAATGGACATATTGAAAAGATATTGCCGAGTGCTGGGGATCCTTGTCTCTACTCTGTATCTGCACGGCGTCATCTGTGGTCATCACTGCGAGCGCCATTTTTGCCGGGGCCGGGGATTCTGTGAGGTGTGCGGAGGGTTCTTCTATCTATCTACACTTGATTTGGTGCAGTGACACACTGGGGGGGGGGGGGTTTTTTAACCTTAGAGGTTCGACAAGTTTTTTTTGCACGCTGGCTGGTAAGTGTGCTGGGAAACCTTTTGCTGTTGTACAGCTAAACGTTAGGAAACACACTGAACTGCCAAAGCCACGGCTGATCAACTAAGGCCGAAGCTTTGTCAACCCATGACAATACGTTCTCCCACCTCGTCAAAGGCCGTTTGTGACACCAACACATTGCCGCACCTTCGCCTTTACTTACCAGAGCGCCGGCAGTTCTCTTTGTTTCTTTACAGCCTCATATCACCCATCTTATTCCGGCAGTCCTTAAACCAGTGCTTTTCAACATTGTTAAAGCTCAACTCCAGCTTAAAGGAGAACTATGGGGTCAGGGCTTTTCCCCATAGTTCTCCTTAGGGTAACGGGAGTACACAAACTAGCGTCCTCCCGTCACCCTAGGCTCAGTATATAGGGAGCTACAGCTCGCGGTATACTGAGACGCCGCAGCGGATCCTGACATCGATGTCGAGATCCGCCCAGCTGCGTGAGTGACAGCTGGCTCTTAAAGAAAGCAAAGCGCTGCAACCACGATCAGTGGCTCCTGCAGACTCCTTCACCAGCCCCCTGTCCGTACTGAGTTACAGACCTTCGGTTATGAAGCTGGAGGAAGTTATCAATGGACCACCAGTGCAGTGATGTTACTACACGTGTACTCTATTGAGAACGGAGTCCCACTGACACAGTAGCAGATGGAGCTTGCTGTGTTTTCATTCAAAGACTGTGAACCCAGTGGCGTAACAATCACCATAGCGACCCAGGCGGCCGCTATGGGGCCCGGGGCACAGTGGGGCCGTGCCGTGCGGGCCGCCTGGGTCGCTATTGGATCCTCTGCTGGTGGCTTTCACTGGCGGCTGAAGACTAACACGCCGCTGTTCAGATCACTGACAGTAATCTGTGCAGCAGTTCCTCTCCACAGAGTCAATGAGAGCCAGCAGCGGCAGTGGAGGAGGAGGAGGCGGGGCCCGGGGGTCGGCAGCAGGGGAGGAGGAGGGGCCCGGTGACGAAGGAGGTGGGCCCGGCGACGGAGGCGGGGCCCATCAGTGACCGAGGCGGCGGACAGGTAAGGAGTGCGACCAGCCCACCTGAGGGTGACCCTACATAACCCACCATAGAGAGTCTATGGTGGGCTCTGCAAGTTCACCCTCAGGTGGGATCTTGAGTGGGCTCTGCAAGGGGTATAACTAGAAATCACGGGGCCCCATACAAAATTTTGCTATGGGGCCCTGTGATTTCTAGTTACGCCCCTGTGTGAATGGATCTGACAATGAATAACGTGGCTGTACAGAAGCGTGCAGGGAGAACCATATAATTCAGGTAAGCGTCTGTGACCGGGGGTGTGCTGTAGAATGGCACCATGTTACACCTTACATATGGGTGTAACATGGACAACGGTAGTACAAAAGATGGAATTGACCTTAATTTGTGCCCAGAATTAGCCTTTTAATATATACTGGGAACATTCCTGAAGGTGTTTGAATGGTTCCCAATCAATCCGAAAAGAAAAAACCCCCCTCCACAATAATGATGTGAAGGAAGCGAGTGCTCACCGCAGGATGTGTTGGCTGAAGTTGTCTTTCTGCTCCTGAGTCAGTCGAGGTGATGGGAAACCTTGCTGCTGCATCACCTCTTTTAACCAGACCACCAGGTAGGAGAAGCAGTTCTTATTGAGACAGAAGAGGATGTCTGCGAAGGAGTCCATCAGATTGCGGGAGGCCTGTCCACCAATCCCCTGCCGAGAGAAAGAGAGAGACGGGATCACATGTAGGAGCCACAAGCTGGATACCCCTATATCTAGATTACTGGAATGCCTGTCCACCAATCTCCTGCAGAGGGAGAGAGACGGGATCATATGTAGGAGCCACAAGCTGGATACCCCTATATCTAGATTACTGGAATGCCTGTCCACCAATCCCCTGCAGAGGGAGAGAGATGGGATCATATGTAGGAGCCACAAGCTGGATACCCCTATATTAGACAGAAGAGGATGTCTGCGAAGGAGTCCATCAGATTGCGGGAGGCCTGTCCACCAATCCCCTGCCGAGAGAAGGAGAGAGACGGGATCACATGTAGGAGCCACAAGCTGGATACCCCTATATCTAGATTACTGGAATGCCTGTCCACCAATCCCCTGCAGAGGGAGAGAGATGGGTCACATGTAGAAGCCACAAGCTGGATACCCCTATATCTAGATTACTGGAATGCCTGTCCACCAATCTCCTGCAGAGGGAGAGAGACGGGATCATATGTAGGAGCCACAAGCTGGGTACCCCCACATCGTACTGTCTGACAGTATAGAGCAATCCTGAATGTGGACAGAGCCCTCATCTACCCATCTACATAGGAAGACAAATCACCTAGGGGGAGGAGGCTGAAGGAAATGGTAAGAGGGATACAGGAAAATAATATGTATTATTCATGGAAAGCGGTCATTGTTTTTAGTCCACTGGGATAAAGGATTTTTTACATTATTGGACCGCAATATATAAATTCATATCAATATGAATAAATTGAGGCAGGTATGCCCGCTGGTAGCCCTTTCCTCCTTAAAGCTGCAGAGACAGACCAGCAGCCAAACACAGCACAACGGCAGCTGAAGACCTCCAGCGTATCATTGTACCGATGGAGCAATTGCCATTTTTTTTTGGCTTGCTGGATCTGGAGCAGAGACACACTGAAGGTCTTAAAGTGACATTAAAGTAAAAAAAAATGTCCCTCCCCCCAATGTTAATGTCAGCACTTACCTTAAATGACGTCTCTTAATCCGATCTTCTATTTCTTCTTTCCCGATGTTTTCATCTGTCCCTCCAGCGCTGCGGCAGGTCTCCGATCCAGCGCTGACTCCTCTGTCCTTGCTGGCGCTTCCTGTCCCACAGTGTCTGCATGCGGGTGCACGCCGTCCATAGACTTACCTTGTGTCTCTCCTCGTCTACCGGCCGAAAATCCGAACTGCGCATGCGCCCGCCCCAAGATGCTTTGCAGCCGCCCAAGGATTTTCGGATTCTCAGACGGGAGCGCGCGGCAAAGACGGGGGTAAGTTTAAACCGCTTTTAAAGCATTTTTTTTTTTACTTTTTGCATATATCTACTGCTTGCTAGCCTTATATATATATATATATATGCAAAAACACCCGAGCGTTTAGAAACCCTTTAAGCTGCCATTGTACTGTGCTGAGCCTTCTGGTGCATCTCTGAAGCTTAAAGGTGAACTATGAGGGGGAGTCTAGCCGACCTGTGACAATGAGACTGTCACAGGTCGGCTCAGTAGATCGGGAGGTGAGCGAACACATACTGGCGCTCGCTCACCTCTCGATCCTGTCACGGCTCTCTGCCGTGACAGGGGAGGGGCTGGATTCCCCCCTCCCCG